CCACTTTATTATCGCTTTCTGGCCCACGTGTGATAACGTCCATAGACCCTAGGCAACATAGCCAATGATAAAGTTTGCTGGGAGCTGAAGTCCAATTATTTGAAGGACTGTATTCTCCCATACAAATCTGCCAGTGTTTTGAAATCTTCTAGGGAGACTTCTCTCTGTCCCATTACCTCTTCTCTCTGTCCCACTACCCTCACAGGTACATTTGGTGGAAATACAAGAGAGATCCTTCTCAGTGGCTGCCCCCAGGCCCTGGAACTCCCTTCCTAAGGAGGCTAGCCTGGCACCCTCCTTAATATCTTTCTGCAAGCAGGTAACACCCTTTTTGTTTTGGTAAGCCTTTGAGAATTGTTTTTTTAACAGGTCTTGTATAAAGTGCTATTTTTGTTGTTGGTTTTAAGTGGTTTTAAATGGGCTTAAATTTTATGGTGGTTTAATTGCTTTTGAATTTTTCTATGGAGTGAATTTTTAACACTTGCAAGCTGCCTTGAGAAAGTCAGTGTGGTGGCAATAGCATTTGAGCATTGAAGTACAACTCTGAAAATCGGGGTCTCCCCACACAGCCAGGAAAAACCTCAGGGTGACCTTGAGCAAGCCACACTCTCTCAGTTTCAAAGGAATGCAAAAACAAACCCCCTCTGAAGAAATATAGCCAAGAAAATCCCATGACAGGTTTGCCTTAGACAAGTTGCCATAAGTCAGAAACAATTTGAAGGCACCACAACAATATAAATAAATATGACAACAAAAACAACACATGAAGATCGTGTTTACCATCCTTGGTGTAAGTAATACTGAGCTAGATGGGGCAATGATCTGAGTTGGTAACAGACAGCATCTTATGGTCATGTTTGATCTGACCAAGGGAAAATCTAGTCCAGAATGAAAGCAACCTTGTTATCCCATTGTTATGACTTACCGTACCTCTGTGGAAACAACCTTTATCTACATTAGAGAGGCCAACTAACACTTCTCTCAGGAAGCACCTTGGATACTATTACCACTCCTCCCATAAAGGATGAAAGGTAGATGAAAATGATCTGAAGAAAAAGAGGTGACAGCTTCTTCCAGAGATATTAGCAGAAGCATCCAAGTTTCCTCAAACCTTGTACCCTCCAGTTGTGTTGGACCACAATTCCCATAATCCTCTATGCGGAAATAGCAACAAGTGTAGTCCAACACACCTGGAAGGTGTCAACTTGTGGAAGGATGCTGGTCCATGTAACCTCTCCAGTGTAACTCACTAAGTTGAAGTTTTGCAATTTTCCATAATAAAAGCTAGGGGAAGTCTCGGGATCCCCAACCCCAAATGGTGATGTAAATATGCATGTGAAACACGATAAAAGCCTAAAAGTTGAGAGAACATAGATTGATCAGTTAGTTGCTGTACAAAAGACATTTGGAGAGGGGCATACATTACCTGAAATGTTCCACAATGCATACATGTTTCTTGTTGTTGCTTAAATATTCAGATGCATTTTTTTTTAAAAAAACTAAGTGGTTCTGTTGTGTATCAGAGGAAATTTCCCTTAAGACACTTGGACACACAGACACATAAGTAAAATACCAGCTATGTGAGATGAAAACATGTCCTGTCAAAGCCCTAAAGGCCTGCCATAACCTTGAAGGAGGGAAAGGTGGGATTCACACCATGTGTATTTCAAGCATCCAAAGAAGTTACAAATCAGATAACACACTCTGTTGCTGATAGTAAGTGAGGAAAACCAGAGGAAACTGACTAGCAAGAATGCATCAGATCTGGATTCCTGACTGTTTCAGGAGATACTACTGTGCCCCAGAAGTGACCAATGATTTTATAGCTGAGTTGAGATTTAAACAAATGTTTTCCAGCTCCCATCCCATGTTCTTGACAATTAGACCAGTTCTGCTGGGGAAGACTGCTTCCTGACTCCCTGGGATCTTCTCAGCAAGGTGGTGGAGAGCTGGAAAAATGCATAATCACTCACACTTCCTAAATTTAGCAGCGGACATTACATTTACTGTCTGGGCTGTTGAGATATCAACATTTTTTTTTACTATATTATTTGTTTCTTCCCGATTCAGGGCCCTGTCTACATGGAAAGAATAAACCAACATCCCCTCTTGGGGAGGAAACTGGATTACATAGGGCCCAATACAAGAGTCTGTTGTGAACAGTCTGGATGATGTCTAGGCCATTCAGTGCTAAACCAAGGATTTACCCCTCTTAGCATGAATTTTAAAAAGTCCCCAGTTGTTTTGGATTTTCCCGGAAGATCTGGAGCCCTCTGTTCTAACACCAGGCAGCTGTTTGCACATGCATCCCCTC